AAAATAAGACCATAAGTTAATTGTGCCTCTCAATCCTGCTTCATCCTTGTGGGTTGTTTTGCTATTGGGACTTGGAACGGATGCTTTCTTTGCTTGAAGCTTCAAAACAAAAAAAAATACAAGTTTGGAACAGTTAGTAAATGAGTCACTCTGCCCTAGGACATTTGGTGTTTCTGACTGTTTTTCCCTTATTCACAGGCTTGTAGGTGTAGAGGGGGAATTAAAATCAAATTTTGGAGAAATTCATTTCCCCCCACAGAGTCAGGGTAGCCTCAACTTAAAGCTACCCTGCTGTGGTTACAAAATACAGGTGATCACTAGCTGGTAATAAAGAGTTACAATTTTCTGTATTGTTTTGCTGCTGCTGATATCTAGAGGCTACCTGGATGTTTGAAACTCTACTTAAACTCTAATCAAATCACTGTTTTTAATTTTTCTAAACAATAGAAATGTGGTGGTGTTGTTTCTTTTTTTTTTTTGGAAGTATGATGTTATGAGAAATACTGGCTTATATTAAATGTGACCAGTAAGCCTCAATTGCCCTACTTTGCCATATTATTCTGATGTTCCAAAAGCAAGGACGTTCCTACTTATCAGTGGTGGGATTCAGCTGGTTCGGACCGGTTCGGGCGAACTGTTTGTTAAATTGATGGCTGGCCCCACCCTTTCCTGCCCGGCCCCTTCCAGGAGTCCTCATGCATCCTGTTTTAGTCTCTGGGTAAGTGCAGGGAGGCCTACTAGGCCCAAATGGTGTGTGTGTGTGTGTGTGTGTGTGTGTGTGTGTGTGTGTGATGTTGCCCCCCCGGCAGTCCATTTTTTCTTTCAGAAATCTGTAGAGAAGTCTACTAGGCCCAAAACAGGGCATGGGGGGGCATGTCCCCCCTCAGTGTCCCATTTTTGCTCCCAGGGGAATGCAGGAGGTCAAATACTGCCTGACAAACCCCCTGGCCATGCTCACCATGGCGACACTCACCCAGCTGGTCATTAGAGCAGAGAACCGGTTGTTAAATTATTTGAATCCCACCACAGCTATTTATGATAATTGCCAGCCAGGTTCTGAGACTTGCATCCTGATTCAATGGAGCAATCATTAATGGCTGTGTGGATGTTGAAGTTTTTTCAATTATATCGAACACTTCAGATTTTCAAACTGGAAAAAGAAAAGCATAGAACCGAACAGCAAAGTTCGAAAAGAGTTTTGCCATCCTAGTGCCTGGTATATTTGGTTCTCTGCAGAGCAAAAGAGGGAGGGCAGTGGCCGTGAATTTTTCTGACTTTTATTTTCTCTCATCAAAAGGAATTGGGATGTCACAAGTGGGCCATTTCACCTAGGCTGTCAAGTTTCTCCTGTTCTGCTTTAACCCTAAGGTGACAGCTGCATTTATGTTTCCTCTAACACAGTAGCCAAAGGTGACAAGACTCGGAAAGTTACTACAGGGGACAGTATCAGCTGCCCGATGGGTTGAGGAATGTGGCTGTCCAATTCAGTGATGAAAAAATGGGGTTCCACCATACTTTTAATTTTTATATGAAAGGTTATTTTTTTCCAACCTGACTTATTCTGATGATATAAGCCATGGTTTAACCAAATTTTGTGGTTCAACAGTTGTTGGGAGTATACTACTTGTGTTGGGTAGGCAATGTATATCTATATACATTAACAAATGGTCATTGTTGCTTTAAATGAGTGGATGTACTTAACAACTGTAATTAACTTTACAATAAGAAGGAGCCAAGAGAGCTTACTCTNAACTTACAACTGTGAACATAATAGAAGGAAAGAAGAAAGAACCTTTGAAAAGTGCAGCTATTGTACCGTGAAGTGCTAGGAAAGAAAAAATGGAATTTTTCCTTTCTACAAAGCTACTAGAAGCACATGTTCCTTATAAACCTGCTCACTATAATTATTCAAACTCCATATAAAGTTGTAAGACTGCCTTTCCTTCTAACACTTCAATTACTTTTACAAAAATATATAAATTTAGATATAGCTGTAGCTAGCACATTTATTATGGTAAAAATTATTTATTAATAAAAATTCTGAAGCAGTGTTATGAGGCAACCTATTGAGTATTTAAAGGAATATTTTTTTTATTCTCAATCATAAGTCACACAACCATATTAATGATTTTTAAACATGATGTATTACTGGTAATAATTCTGACATAGAGTAATGAGATGCAATCCACAGATTGATAAGAAAAACTATTCTTTTAAGCAAACATGAACTGTAAGATAATTAAGTACTGTATATTACTTTTTTCAACACTCTTCGGGGTGTGTATTCTGTTAAGATACAGCCTGTTGTGCCATACTGACTTCTACTGTACAGCACAGTGGAGTTGCCATAGTAACAGCTTCATAGTACTCCACAAAAGGGGGGGGGTCTCTCTGGTAAGGGGGAAAATCCAACATTAGAAATTACGTTTGGTCCGGATATTTTCCCCCTATAAATAAATAATCCGGCAATGCTGGGTTATTGGCTAGTAATAATATAAAGAATCTCTGTCAAGTATGTGATTCTTTATATTTGTTCTGTCATGTATTGTTCTTTGATAAATTCAAATATAATACAGTGATAAAAATTATGATTTCATCTAGGCATTGTTATGAAAACTTTACACTATTTCTCTCTGTTTCCAAAATACTGGATTCAATATCTATTGTTACCAATACCTCATTTGAGATTGAAAAATCTTATGCAAATTGAGAATGATTTTTTTACTTGCATATAACGTACTGCTTAACCTAGATGTTACATTTTTCTCCCACAAACATTTTTTGCAGTTTATCATAGATCACAAGCTTTAACAATTGATAAAGCTTTAATTAGGGTTATTATTTACAGTTAGAGGGCATAGGTCCTTAAAATCCTTTTCTGTTATTATTTGAGCAATGTAATGTGTATCTTTGATAAGAGACTTTAACCCCTAGATTAAACACTGTGTGTTTTAATGGCAAGTACAATTATCTAGGCCTTTTCCTTTAAATACCCTGTCAGCACAAAAAGCAGGCATTATAAAACAGTATTGTTTTAGTTAAACATTAGTATGATAGCTCTGCGGGGAATTAGGCTGCTGCATTTATCAGTTCTGGAAAATGATCTTGATGGTCACATATTTTCTTTATCTGATACTACACTGGCTGCTCCATTTTTAACTAGAGACTTGGACTAATTGTGTAGGAAGAACTCAAATTATGAAGTTTTAGTAGCTGCAATCCTGCATTAAAATTGCAGTTTGTGACTTTCATACAGGTAGACAAATCAAAAGCAGCATTTTGCTTTGCAACAAAGCCTGCTTTAGCTCAACTGCATACAATACATTCCAACTACTAAATCATTCTGTCCAATTCATGCATATGCACACATGATTATGCATGCATTGATTTTGATTGAGGATCAAGACAAGTATCCTTTGAAGTAACACTGTGGTACAGAGTCCCAACAATGTGCAATAGAGGACAACAGTTTCATTGCTTTGCTTTGCAACCCTATAGGCTTCTGCTACACCTCCAGAGTTACTCCTGACCCTGGAACAGAGCACCTTATAGCCTGATTACAACTTTGCTACAGTTCAATACATGGAGGACATTAAAATTAGATAATGAATAGTAATTTTTCTAGAAATCTGAAGGGGTAGTGGACTTACATTGGCTTGGCTGAAACTATATCTCTCTGCATTAGCTTGGAACTTAGTAAAGCAGAGTTTCTAGTCATACTGTTATTTGCATTCAACCAAACTTCCAATTGAACACATGGAGTCTGAGGTGAGAATGTCTGAACAAGGCTACAGTAGCATGAAAAAAAGTAAATATGATTGATGGAATTTTTTGCACACCTCCTTATTATTCTCCCTATCATTTAACAGGAGATGCTATAGGCTCAGGACCAGGAATATATAATTTAATCTCATAATCCTATTTAAAGTCTCAAACATGGGTAATCTTTCATTCTAATGATTTTATTTTGTTTGTAAATGAAAGAGGAATTTATAGAAACTCAAATCACTAGTTGAAATAACCAGTGAAATTTTCTAGCATGGCTGGGAAGCAAATACCTATAGGACAGGGATTTTTAGCACAGAGCTGGGCTAAGGGCTGTTGCATGATCAGACAAGGCTAGAGAAGACTATTAGAGCTTTTAATTGGTTATGACTTGGCTTCTGAATCTGCTTAAGTAATATGTGCAAGAAAGGAAAAATAAATGACCAAAATACAATGTAATGTGTGAATTCCAACTGTAAAACCTTTCATGCCTAGTACCTCAAGTTTCATATCTTTTTGTTTCTTTGAATATGGTAAGAACTTTACAACATCAAGTAAGTTAAATGACAGTGAATTTTACACAGCTTAATAATTTCAAATCAAAGTGCAAGAAGTCATTAAATAAATTCATTCTTGATGATACTATTGCTTCCCTGGGTTTCAAGGAAATTAAAAAAAATAATCCAGGGCCAACATGTTTTACAATTCAACAAGATTGCTATCAAACATTTGTGTACTCTTGGTTTAAAGTTCAAAAGCAGTTGATGTCCTACACTAAATTGATTCCAAACTGCACTAGAGCTTCCTACCATTGTGCTAAAAAAATATCTGGATTGTTTTAAAATTAGTTTTACAAACTGTTTTACATAAATGAGAAGTGATCAACTAGAAGATATCTACACCCACGATTTTCAAACAAGTTATCTGTATTATATATGTTTACAATTACTAAATCTTCTCTATATTGTATTTTCAAAATTCATTGTACTGCCTAAAAGTTGAGTAACACACTGTCATCTTAAAACACCTTTCTCCAAATTGTCACTCTCTGGATGTAGCTTAATATATTTCTGGATCAGAGATAATCCAGTCGATTCTTCACCAAGCACATGACCTCTAAAGTTTTTTCCATTTCTATGATTCTGATTCTATATCTCCTTCATTAAATGCAAGCCCAGTTATGTTTAAAATTTTCCAGGCAATTCTGATATACATTTGAATTTAGAACTTCTTACCTCCTAAAACATGAGCCCAAGATGTTCCACTGTCAAACCAAATATCCAACACATCTTGTCCTTGTACATATTCCTGGATATCATTAGCAGCCTGATTTAAAAATATATGGGTTACAAATATATGAATTAAGAAAATAAGGACAACTTAAATTCTTCCATTTCCGCACCAAAGGACCAGTAACAGCATAATCACTATTTTTTTTAATGGCAACATGAATAAGAGAACATTGCTGTATTTTGGATGTTCATTTGTATGCACATTAGAAAGATGAACCTATGTTGTTTTTGTTGCAAGAGACTATCCTATTTTGGCATCTTAAAAGCTACCACATTATGTAATAAACCTTGGTGTACAGTCCGTTCCACCTGATTATGTAACTTTTTCGTCTGACTGTAACTGTATACACACATACACAGTTATACATATAAGGTGCTTATGACATTGCCTTAAATCTCTGCTGCTTCATGTTATACCCTTTGGGTAGATCTGGGAAATAATTTTCACAGAAATAATTGCTAATGCAGTTATTCTATGTTGGCTCACATTCAAAGTACATTGGCCTATACTTTATTGTACTTGTTGGTAAGTCCCCAAAACCTTACAGCAGCATCACTTTCAGTAGATTAGGTCACTACTACAAGTCAGTTCCAAGTTAGCCCTTGATCTGCCAGGTTTCTGGATTGTCTGAATCCTGCCCCTTAATTCCAGATTTCAGCTACACTTTGTAGTTCATAGCTTCATAGAGTGCTTTCCATTATCCCCAAATTTACCTTTGCCAGAGCCTCTTTGGGAAGAAGCTGTTCAATAGGAAGTGTCCACCAGACATCACTGCCATGTTGCTCCACTAGTTTAATAACATTCTCAGTGCTTTTTCTACAAGGAAAAAAAAGGGAATCAGTGACAGAAAGACAAGAAATTATTAATCTGTGTTCTGTAGATGACATTTAATTGGAAAAACCAGGAGCCACTAAATGTTTTCACATGTAAGAAAAGGCTAAAGTATAAATTACAATTACAATTTCCTAAACACATTATGGACAATCTATTCAAGATAAACAATGAAAGGCCTGAAAGAAATAGCAAGTGAGTAAAAAACACAACTGTGTAAAACTACTTTTGCACACTTTGATCACTAATCAAAGTGCTTCAGTTTAACAATACCCGATCTTAGCACTCTTGAACTTTTCTTCCTATGGATGTGCCATGTTTATACGACTAACCAGTTAAATAAGGGCTCCAACTTTTGATTTGCAATGGTTTCCAAATCTCGACGAGGTTTCCCACCTAAATCCATTAGAGAATCATGGATTTTCATGATTCTCTATAAATTTTCTATGCTTTTCTAACATTAAATCTAAGCCTGATGATATACGCCTTTGTTAATTTTAAAATACTGTTTTGTTTTTTAAACAGCATCATAAAAAGGGGCTAAAATTCTACTCTTTCTCATTTATGAGGTCATCAAATCACCATCATCCCCCTTGCAGCTAATAATTTTTAATTTTTGTTGCAGCTGCAAGTTTCTCTCCCCTAATACTTCATGAAAAACTTATATAGGTTATGCTTTGTCTTCAAGTGAAGAGGAAATGACTGAAAGAAAACCTAGAGCAGCCTTTCCAAAATGCTGTTTATTTGCCATGATGGGCTAATAAGGAAGTGAATGAAGACATCAAGTCTGTAAAAGTCATCTGAGGCATGGGATGAGGATATTGTCCTGATCCTACAAAGATAGTTGAAGTTAGTCTCAAATTATTTAACAGCACTCTTTTTAAAAAATCAAATTAAATCCTTAATCAAACCTGTAGCTTCATGTAGTTTAAAAATCACAAGGTCCCCAAATTTGCGTGACTAAAAAAGTGGCCTTTTATGGGAGAAGGTTGCCCATATCTAGAGATTTAATCCTAAAACGAGTCTTTCAAGATTTCACAATAAAAATTATATTCCAGTTCTATCTTCCAGGTTCTTTTCATGGAAAACGACTTGTTCTAATGCCATATTTTGTCTGTATAAAGATAATTACAGGAAGGGAAGAAATGCTTGTAGCTATATTTTAAAATTGAGTATTTGGCTGAGGATACGGTATATCAAATTCCTTAAACTCAGAAGCCAGTATCTATTTTCAGATTTATTTATTAAGGAAACTAGAATTAACATACTGTATAAAACAAGATATAGTCTCCAAAGAAAGAGTTTTTATAATTAAAAAAGTATGTGTGGTTGACATAGTTATAATAAAAATAAATATAAATAAAATTATAATTAATATAGCAACAGAAATAGTACTCAGACTTATATACTGCTTCACAATGCTTTACAACATTTAAATATATAAACTTGATTTATTTATTAACTGTAATCATTAATAGCTGTTCTTGCCCTTATAAAACCAATGATTTTGCTGATTTCATAACGTTACTAGACCTCCAAGGAATATACATTATATTATCCTTAAAATCTTTCCAAAACTTGTCTGTTTGTTTTCTCTTAGAAGCCATTCTTGTGGCTCTTGTCAAAATGGTTACAAATATCAGATATGTTTCCTGTTCTCAACTGTACAATGTGTATAAAAATCTTAAGTTAAAAGTTCTCTCTACAGTGTAAATTCAACACCTTCCTCAAATAACGACTTATCACTCTGCAAATGGCAGGTTTCAGTTTGAGAACCATAATTCACAGTGTAAGCAACAAGAGCCCTGCTGTAAAACTTTGCCCTATATTTGTATGCCAGATTGGGCAGAACTCATATTACGTGTCATTCTCCAGGTTTCTAGCCTGGAAATCCACAGGGCAATTCACGCTACCATGACGCCAGCCAATCATTTTGAACCCTGATATTGATTATGCCAAATGCTTATTTAGTGGGAAATTAAGCAGCATTCAGATATTTTTCAGGCATGGACAGAAACGGATGCTGACCATCCTCACTCCTCTTAACAGCGTGGAGTCCAGGTAACTTCTTTTTTATGTAAGATGCAGGTGATTTTTGAAACTATTTAAGAATAGTGATATTGTCCATTTATAAAATGTAGTTGTACTCTGGATCACTGTGACTGTAATACATGTCGAAGGATTAGATGATTCAAACTGATTTAAGGTATTCTTTTTTTAAGCAAAGGGCAGCAACTTGCAGCAATTTGGAAAATCTTAACACATTTTAACCTGCTTTTCAAGTTAAACTGGAGCATGAAGAAAGAAGCTGATTTAGCAAATAAAGTAATTCAACTTAAGCTTGAATCATACCAACATAAATATTTATATTAATTACAGATTTTCTGTATAACATATTACTTTTTACCATGAATGTTTTTAAATGTATTCAGAATTATTCAGGATTAGTCTATACCAATCTGTGGTATTTTCTTTTTAAAGCTGAAAATATTTAAGACCTATAGCGTCATTAGATTAAGATAATTAAATAAATTATTGCACTGAGCTTTAAACGTAAGTCCTTCACAATGTTTTAATTTCAAAGGTATGTTTCGTCCCTAAACTTACATCTTTCTGTTTTAATCAGTTTAATGTTTATTAAACCGAAAATGTCATGCCCTTAATCACAATATCAGAGGGTTGTTTTCTTTAGAAAGACTTATCTATATTCAAACTCAGTTTCCATTATTTTTACAGAGCCTTTGTTGGACAACTGACACCTGCTGCTGTTTATTCCAATTTGTATCGTACTCATGGAGTGGCAGTAATGTATAAGGTCTCAAATTCTCACCACATTCATTTTGGGTATCCGTAGGGGAGAAAGTATCGAATTGCAATAGAATGAAAGAATGGTAATTTCCTTTCCCTATGTAGGCTCAGAGAGGCAGATAACTAATGGATCTTAAGCAGTGTTATCAAGTGTAACAGCAACTCCATGTGGAATAAGCCTCTTTCCAGTGGAGGTGGTGTTACTCTTGAAAGCCACTGATCTATTGACTGAAGAAGTAAATTATACCAAAAAGAAGTAAATTCAAGCAAATTTGTTATTACAACTTTGTATTTACCTATGTACCACCTCTACTGGTAAAGTTCGTACTTTTTATTTCTTTCTGAGCATCTTTTTTTATTTTATTTATTAAGTCTAGTCTTCCGGTTATTTCAGATAAAAAAACATCTATTCAGCAAAAGAGCTCTGGAGGATTCGATGAACGTTTCTCCCCTGAAATGAGGTCTAGGGTAATGACCTATGATTTGACAGACTGTGCTATCTAAGTCTGCCTGTCATTTCTGTAGGCCAATACTCTGCATGTTCACTGCTCTACAAGGAACACGCGTTTCTATGTTAAAATGCATGAATCAATATCAACGAAGGAAGTTAATTTTAAAAATGAAAGTCCTCTCTATGTTTTAATGATTTATCCTCTTAGTGTATTGCTATGGCTTGCAACTTAAAAGAAAAATTAAATGGTGCCTCCATAACATGTGTTTATTTTCTCTCTGAAGAAATTATGAAGAGATATAATTTTGCTCTGGTAATTTAAAGGGTTCTTTATAAAAAGACCTGTGTCTAATGTAAATTATATAAATGGACAAACATATTAGCAAGACAGCACATTCAGGATTTGAACTGAGTTGCTGTACTTATAATATTTATGCTGTCCATTTAATTTTGTCTCACTGAATTCTTACCTGATGTTCACAGTTACTAGTGATAAACTGATGGACTGAATGGCTTTAGGAGCTTAAGCATATTCACATTAACCAGAATTAGCCCGTGTAATGTTAAAACCCAACAGAAGAAATATTTAACATGGATAAAGCATAGCCATTCTTTTAAAACTGCTCTGGATTCAAAAACTCTAATAGAAGTTAGCCCATTACGACGTTCGTGGTCTGAAAAGGACTCCTCTGTGACAGGGAGACTTATCCGTGTTTTGTTATCATTATCCTGGAATTTCTTCACCACAAACAACATCTATTCAATCATACAAAGTCTGTTATTCTTTATTTTTCAAACCTCTTAATTTACTAACGTGTTTTAAAAATGTAGAGAGAACAAGAGCATAATTTTTTCAGTAGTCATAATTATCTGATGTAGATGATACTACTAAAAGCACTCGTGTAAGAACCTAATAAACTAGATCAAAGCCACTAATTCCAGTAGGAATTGGTGAGAAATGTAGTGACTTCCCAGCACTAGGCGCTTCACTGAAAATTGCTCTGCCTGTGAACCCTGGTTACCTTTCTTATTCAACCCTGCTCTTAAAAACATCTACCTGTATCTGTTGCAGAATATTTGCTCAAGGAGGAGTTTAAGCCGTCATACAAGGGAAAATTATAAGGTGTGTCTAAAATCAGAACCCTGGCAGTTTATACAAGCAAACCAACGACAAAGCTTCTTTAAAAAAAAGATTGAGCTATGTCTTAAAATTCTTTTACAACTAGGCACTGAGGAACAAGCAAGTCTTTTACTCTCAAATTGGTAGGTTCTTATAATGCACAAAACATCGACAAACACATTTTCTCCTTTCATCAATTAAACCCAGCTCAAAAAACAATTTTTTTTCGCCCTTTGCTTTCAGCCAACCATGAGCACCCCAATCATGAACAAATGGGAAAGCATTTCTCATAGAAGCAATTGATATATCCTCTCCTTTATTTTTTCTGGACAAGCCGGCAGGCTAGATTAGGACTGGGTTGTGTTGGAAGGTACAGCACAACCAATAATATCTAGTCCAAAAACATTTAGCCTCATTTGCCTCTCTCTCTCACCAGTTACTGAATGATCAAATACCAGATTTGAACAACTAGAATGAACTAGAATTTCTAAGAATCCTAAAAACTTCATTGTTCTCTTCCCCCCACCCCATCTTCCAATAGATTTTAAAAGCTCCTTTCTCTAGAACTTTTATTTCATTCAATACTGATCAAGGGTTACTGCAGGGATGGTTAACATTTACCCTCTGGATGTTTTTTACTGGTATTGTTTCATTAAATGGAATTATGTCTTACATGTTGTCCTCTTTAATAATGTATATTACCTAGGGGTTATTTTAGGAAGCATTTTAGAAATCGATATATAAACGTAAATAAATCTACAATGAGAATTGTGTTTCCCATTACCATTCCAAGCCATATAAATATCATAGCCTTCATTTTTGTGGTTTTTCAATACTGTGAGGTAACTGGTTTGCCATAGGGAAAAAAGTTGCTTTTCTGGCAGGTATTTTGTCCCAAGTTTTAATTGTCTGAAGCTTCATTTCAGATTAATGGCACATGTTACATATAAGATTACACCTACACAAGCCTGCAGTTTGGTAGCAGCACTACTCTGATGAGAAGAAAAACTAAAAAAAAACAAAAAACAACTTGACATATTTTCACTACAAAGTAACTCATTAATACACACACACACACACAAACACACACATGCACTTTTTTAAACCCAGAAGCATATATACTGCATCCTGGACCATCACAGTCTCTCTACCGGTATTAACATTTCTTCTGATTCCAATGTATAGAGCACCTTGTTCTTTGCATAACAAAGAAATCCATACCATAGTTGGTTCCTCTTCTCACTGCATTCCATCGGTCCATTCCTCTTTTATTTTTCACCTCCCCAACCTACCCTTTACTGTTTTTGAACTACATTTGCTTCTATCTATAGTTCTCTCTGAAAAAAGACAGCAATGGTATATGTAATATACACAGCTTTTCCAGAACAATCACATACTGAAGGAGTCACATGACATAGATTCTCTAAAACAGTAATTTTTACTGTAAATTTTTACTGTAAAACAGTAAAAATGAGTCTTTTGAGTTTGCAACTTGTGTTGGATCTGGAGATCTACCATATTTTGAATAGCATCTCAACAGACATATTTCAACTGTGGTACGGTCAGAATTCTTTTGTGAGTGTTTCAAGGCATGGATAATACGAAGAATGGCTTAAGCTCCTGCAAGACTAAATATACACATTTTGTTGCTTAATCTTCTTTCCCAAAGTTCAAAAAGGGGCCTCTGATGGCAAATTTTAGGAGACTCACTCACTTGGGAGGAATGCAAAGGGATGCTAATACATTATTGTATCCCTTCTTTCATTTAAAATTACTATTAAATGTATTTCTCCTTGCAACACTAATACTGCAGTTGTAAACTCACCAACAGAGGGCACTATTGTTCTGGATTTCAAGAAACCCTCGATTTGGTTTATAAATAAAAGTAGAAAATTATTTTTACTATGATCAAGCATTAAAAAGAAATAAATGGATTCCTAGAATGTTAATCAACTTGAGTGGAGATTAAGAGTTAGGCCCAAACTGGACCCACTGCTTGAGAAAAGAGGATTTACATCACAGAGCAAAACACTGGTTTAGCAGCTCCATTTCTGATATAAAAAGAAACACTGGGCCTCCTTTACTTAAAAGCAGCCTCATGAAGTATGCATTACGTACCTCTCCTGTCCTATTCTCAACATTACCAACAGTTGCTGCAAGATTAGTCATAGTGAGCAGAAAGTGAGCAGGCCTTTTGCTACATCACAGACTTATGCAATCAATATGACACACTCTTAAAAAGGTAAAGGTTTCCCCTGTCCGGTCATCTCCAACTCTAGGTGACAGTGCTCATCTCTGTTTCTTAGCAAGGGAGCTAGCTAGCATTGTCCGAAGTTGCTTCCGAGGTCATGTGGCAGTCATGACTGGGGCACATGGAACATTGTTATCTTCCCACCAAAGTGTTATCTATTTATCCACTTGCATTTGCCTGACTTCAAATTGGTACCGGTATATTTGCAGGAGTTGGGGCAAAAATGGGAGCTCATCCTTTCATATAGTATTTGGATTTTGAACCCCCAACCTTTTGGTCAACAAGCTCAGCGCCTTAACTGGTAGGCCACCGTGCTCCCTATGACATACTTTTAGTACATATAAAAAAGAGAACACTAGAGGGAATGTCACAAAACATTTAGGTTTGCTTGTCAATATGTATTTATGGGTCCATCAGGTTTAACATAATTTTCAATAGTGTCCCAAGCACATCTCTCTATTTGCACCCGTTATGAGTAATAGCATTATTCTATTCATATAAATAAAATACTGCACTTGGAGAACTTTTGTCCAGTTGAGAAATAATAACAATCCTTTATCTCTCGGGTTGGATTTGTGTGTGTATGTGTGTGTCTCCAGTGAAAAGGACTGGCACCTGTGCAATCTTACGAAGACAAAAGTACTTTTTCTACTCACTGTAATGTATTTTCGGCTAGCTAGTTTCTTACACCCACACCAATTACTTGTTTTGAAACACCACTACTTTGTCCTCACTGGGATATATAAAAATGTGTGTACAAATTGCTGTATCACAAAAGCTTCCTCACTTGTTTTAATAATGAACTTAGAACCCAGAAAGCATTATATCCCATACCAGCTCTGGAATGGATTACATTCCATATTAACCTCTGAGTGAAAACACCCACTGATTCCAAATATATATTGAGGCAACTTGAGGTGGGGTGGGGTTTGGAAATAATTTTTTGGTCACGTATGAATAGGAGCTGCAAATGCCATACCCATACCAAAGCTGCTCTATCAACTCATCTCATAGCCATACCAAAGCAACTCTATGCCTGGAACAACAGCAGATGCTAAAAATGGTGCAACACTGCATTATTTACTTGGCAAATTATTGCTCTGTTGAAAAATGAAAACAGTATTTCTGCATCAACTATTATCTTTCCCTCCCTTCCCCTTCCCCCAAAATAGGTTGATGAGATACTTACTTGTTTATTAAAGGCTCCCCTGTTGATTTATGGTAAAAAACTGGAATGGGGACACCCCAGCACCTCTGCCTTGATATGCACCAATAGGTCCGTCTTTCCAACATTTCTAGCATTCTGTTCATTCCTGAGGCTGGGACAGTTTTTACTTTCTTTAATGCTTCCTGAAAAAGACACAAATGATATGAGGGAAATACCAAAGGTTAGATGCTAAGGGAAGAAGAGGGATCACTGTTCTTTAGTAGATTGTTATAGTAAAATAAAAATGGTGAAAAGTATACCAATCTTGATGGTAAGTTGATAATCAAATGAAGAGTTTCAAAATATTTCAAATATTATGCATGTAATAATTCAACCAATGTCCACAAGTGTTGCTAAAATAATAAGAAGCCCAACACCATTTAATTCTTCATAAGTGCTTCTTATTGTCGTGTGATTTTTAATCTGTCAGTTCTCTATAAATTCTTTTACATGAAAGGCAGACAGATATCATGCTTTCATTTGAACGCATACAGCCCCAAAGTCAGCACCCCACCTACTGGTGTGCAGAAACAAGATTCATATAGTTGATCATTTAAGCTAGAAGTTAAGTGTCTTCTACCAGTTGGAGACTATACTTTTTCTTTATTTTTTAACAACTGAGACTCAGAGAGCTCTAGAGATTGTGGATAGTAATGTAATAACATGATGTGAGTGGGTGAGGCCAGAATTTTAGCAGGTTTCTTGAGATAGAGTTATCCAATTTTGCTCAACAGAAAAAAAGGAGGAAAAAAGTACAGTATAAATTTTAGTGGCCCAATCTGAAGTTACTCAGTAGATACGATGCATATCATGGATGATATAAATTGAATTATAAAAAAACAATAATGTATCATAAAGTGTAATGAAAGCGACAGAGGTCCATTTCTATCAGAAACACATTATATACCTGAGCAGCAGTCTTGAGATTCTCTGTATTAATGAACCACTGTTTGCTGGCCCGAATAATCACAGGTTTTTTAGTCCTCCAGTCATAGGGATAGCTGTGTACATATTTCTCTTCTTTCAATAAATTCTTTGCTGCTTGAAGCATCTCAATGACTATGGAAGAGTAAAAATATATGACTTATTTTCAGCTTTAATTCAGAAATCTTTTGTGGGCAGTCAATTCAGACCTCTGACAAAAGTTTCTGTTCATCCCCTGGAAGTCTACTCGGTAGAGAAAAAGACAGGCATTGTGAAAATAGTAATGGCAGCCCCATGTAGTTTTGGTTTAAAGTTGACTAATACTGATATACACTGTGTGTGTGTGTATGCAAGTGTATGTAATTTATATAAAGATTTTCATGGCTTATGCATAACTGAGGGCAGCCAAAAAAAGAAAAGAAAAGAAAAGAAATTGCCTATCTCTGGTTTAAGAAAATAGATCACTATTTTTCCCCTGCCCAAATTATAGTACAAAATACAATACAAACCAGTCTCATTTCCTTCTCCAAGAACAGCTTTCTTTTGGAGCTCTGAACCTGCAGCTTCTGTGAAAAGTCCATCTTCATCTACCAGACAGTCCTGGATAAGAAAAATTGTTTAAACCTTTGTTAAAAAAAAAAAGTTCTCAAATTTGTCAGCAAATATAATTTCACAAAGATGTGATTAGACTAACTATCCCTAAACTACTGAGGTTATATTTTTTTCCCTACAAAGTAAGCCAGAACATTTTCATCTTCAGAAGTAACAAGAAATATTTTAATGATTGCAGCGGCATTAGTTTTGGCAAGTAGTTACCCATTTTAAGAGGAAATATAATTTTTAAGCCAAAAGCAAATGAAAACCATTTTCTTATTTCGTTTAAAATTCATAATATTTATCTTAGAAAATAGCCTTGGTTCCCATAATTTGCATTTGACTATACCTCGCTACCAATGGAATGGATTCATCTGGAAGCAGTGATTCTCCCTCCCTTATTCATAGTTCTGAAATCTATTCTAAAGAGTTGTAGCAGATTTGGAAAGTTGCAGGGAAAGTAAGATAAGGGAAGTCTCACTATATAATTACAAATCTGCTTAAAAGAACCCAGATTTAAACTTTATGGAACACTGCAACAATTCTCAGTGTGCACAAAGTGCATATCAATGACTTTCAGGATGTTCTCCAACCTTCAGGCCTGGCATTATACATAAAAGACAGGGGATGAGTAGGCAACAGAAAAGCCTTGTAGGATGTGATTTAAAGTCTACTACTATACCTTCTTTCTCACTTTTTAGCTATACTTCAGGTAGCTACACAATGATTTTAAAAGGTTTCCACTCATCCTTTTCAACTTGAAAGGCTTTGATACATGATAGTTTTGGTGTGAGCAGGAAAAACATAGATTAAAAACAAAGCAAAATAAGACCACAGTACCATGGGCAGTTGATGATGAGAAGCTACACTGTAATCTTCCATACCATGAGCTGGAGCTGTATGCACTAATCCTGTTCCTTTTGATATGGTCACATGGTTTGCAGGCAAAAGAGGAGACTGCCTTCCAGGAATTGTTGGATGGGAACAAATTCCACTTTCCAAATCTGTACCTGAAAACAGCAGAATTAAAACTGTTCACTATCTGCCATTTTCTGCCTACTAGTGGGGGAAATAAAATTTTAACAATTACACAACTAATAAGACTCTCACACTGAAATTGCATATTGTATTTTAAAGTATTCTGATGCAGATAGCTATATTCACTAATTCACACTATTAGTTATTTAGAATGGGCATGATTACAAATCAAATGAATGATAATAGCAAAAACCAATTACTATTTTAAATAACTAACAACATCTGGATTACCAGTGGAACACCATCATCACTGACTAAATCTTTATCAGTCTATTGCAAAAAGCAGTTTTACCTGAAATATATCCTGCCATGATACGTTTAATGTCATCAAACAACATCTGTCTATTCCAAGTCCTTTAGAATGATTCAGTAGGTGAATAAAAATGCCAAATCCAGTCTAACATTTGGCTGACTGCATAATCAACAACAATAATTTTTCTCAGAACTTCTGATCCAGCTTTTCTTAATATATATTCAACATATAGTTTGAATAAATAAAGGGCGAGTATACAGTCTTGTCTCACTGCTTTGCCAACCTAGAAACGGTCTCTTTTGCCATATTCTGTCTGTTCTGTGGCTTCAGAAAATAACGTTGTTGCATAGGAACAATGAATAGAATAGAAACGAGAATATTTGCTACTAGCGTCTCTGATAGGTAGTGTACCAATGTGATCCAAGATAAAAAAAAATCCGCTACATGGAATAGATACAATGTTTTAGAGATAACTAAGAATTGTATACTTCTGCAATTGTGCCATAATAATAATGCATGATTTTGGCCCTACCATTTTGCAAAAAAATATATCTAAAAACGGTTTCCATTATAAGCATATTAAAAAATAAAAACCAAATTTGCTTAATTAAGAATGTTTTTCAATCATATGACTGTATTAAAACAATATAAATTCTAATGCAGTTCTGTCATGTTGTCTGTCCTATTAAAAGATCTCTCAAAATAAATTTCACTCTCACACACACTTTTAAAAGATTGATGATTATCTTGAACTGCAATATTAAAGAGCTCATTCAAGCTACAAAAATATAATCTCCCAGCTATTTCAACTCTTGTGAAAGTCAAGATGTTCCTAATGTCAATTTAACTAAAGGAATAAAGACTCAGAAGTAACTGCAATAAAACACAACAGCAACATCATCCATTGTTGGTAGCATGAATACATGTAAGATTGATGTTGGCCACTGGAAATTGGTAACGACCTTTTTCCTAGTAAAAGTTCCAATGTAGTATTGTTGTCAAAACCGTACGAAAAAAATAATGTGCACAATTCTTGAATGCCACAAACTTGCCACTTTAAACTCCCCTGCGAGGAACAAATTAACTTTCATTTTTCTCTATCATTGTATCATTCATTCAAAATTAATGGTTTTATTGCAATGCATTTTTACCTTTAAATGTTGAAATCACATCAAACTGCGTATCCAAAACAGCAGCTATAGACTGAACTCTATCTGCAGCAACTATAAAATGCTCCTCAGTACTGGAACACTTCACAACGGAATACCTACAAATACATTTAGATCTTTCAGATTTTGAGTAGTTACATTAGCACTACATAATGTTGTATTAAAAACATGAAAGCATTGGAAAGATACCCAAAACTTAATATTGAACGCTTCCATTTCATTATTAATATTGGTGCTGACACAAAAATGTTTCTCATGGAAATGGGAATGTTATATCAATGAATTTTCAGAGTTCCTCATGACAACTGTGATCACAAAGAAGAAATCCCTAATCTAATTTCGCAACTTACATTTAATTATTTTTTTACTGTGTTCCCCCGAAAATAAGACAAGATCTTATTTTCTTTTGACCCCCAAAATAAGTACTTGCCTTATTTTCGGGGAGGTCTTATTATTTTTGAGGTGCCGGAGGTAGTGAGTGTGGTCACCTCATGGCTGCTGCAATATTTTTGAGGAGGGCTTATTTTTGGGGGAGGGCTTATTTTAGCACATGCACTCAAAAGCCCAATTGGGCTTATTATTCAGGGAGGTCTTATTTTCAGGGAAACAGGGTACATTATATTTTGCATCTTTTAATGCATTTCAAACATGCGACAAATGCTTATTCCATATATTGTATCTTTCTTCTATTGACCATAGAGGAAAAATTGTTGGAGACTAGGCATGGTTTACACATGCAGCATAAAATCATATTTTCTTTAGCTGGACATATAAGAATAAATAAAGGGATATAACGTAAAAAGAAAACTGGAAGATTTATATTACCTGTAAAAATAAAGGAAAGGGCAAGAAATGGGAAAAAACATAGATATCATGGTGATCTCAAATATAATATTTACTTTACAACACCCACATGTAAGATACCTCAATTCCATGTGATCTTCAGCAAAATAACACATAGCTCTCAAGAACACTATGCCCTAGTGATAAAGTAAATAAATACGTACTCCAGATTTGGCATAAAACAGACAGCTTGATTGGCTACAATAGTCCAGGGCTGGGTGGTCCATACTATCAAACTCACTGCAGGTAATCCATCTAGTGGTAGAATCAAATTTAGCACAAGTTATCTTAAGTACATTAGAAACACATTTAAACAAAATGAATTTAGAACATAAATAAAACATACCTACTGCAGAGGCTATTTTGGGAGGGGGTTTCAGCAAGGGAAATCTGATATAAACAGCTTGACTAGTATGTTGCTGGTTGTATTCAAGTTCTGCTTCAGCCAAAGCTGTACTGCATGAAGAATCAGCATGAATTGTATTTTAGTGCAAAGCTCTTCCATCCCCAAAGATAAGGGTAAAAAGTATGACAATATCTTACTTTGTTGAAGGAGACCAAAACACTGGCTTATAGTCTTGATAAACAAAACCCTAGGAAATAAAAGAAAATTAAGAAATTAAAATCTATTTAGCCTTATATGCAGAGGTGGGTTCCTACCAGTTCGCACTTATTCGGTAGAACCGGTTCGTCAAATCTACTGAACCAGTTAGAAGAGGTTCCACCAGTGGACCCGGAAAGTAGGCCACACCTACAGAAGAGGTTCCAAATTTTTTTGAAACCCACCACTGGCAAGCTTTAAGACTTGCATGCTTCAATGCCAGAGTTTCTGAATAGCTACTTGGACCGACCTAAGTACTAATTCATAATTTCATATCCGGTCACATGGGCAGCAAGCCACTCCCATCCAGTCACATGGGTGGCAAGCCACGCCCACAAAGGAGGCCACACCCACAGAGTAGGTTTGAACAATTTTTGAAGCCCACCACTGCTTATATGTAATGTAAATATCCCTTGACCATATATTAACCTACCTTTTCATACATTTGGTGGAAAACACTCAACTGTTTTGCTTCATACTTTGGATCAAATGTGTAGTAGCAGTTCTCCCAATCTGCCATTATGCCCCAGCGCATAAATGCTGATTTCTGTTTTTTAATTACCTTTTCTGCAAATGCTTTGGCTGAAGAAGGAATAGTCATTTTTAATATGAATTCACTAATGTTATGTGAAGCTGAAAACAATTATAAACTAAATAATAATCAGAAGCCAATTATTTTATTTAGTTATTTTAGATAGACAGATATAGCAGTTGAACTTAACTTCCTGACAAATTCCCACAGTTTTCTTGGTAAGGTTTTTGGGAAGTGGTTTGCCGTTGCCTACTTCCTAGGGTTGAGAGAGAGTGACTCATTCAAGGTCACTCAGATGCCTAAGGAAGGACTAGAACTCAGGCTCCTAGTTTCTAGCTAGCTGCCTTAATGCTATACCAAATTGGCTCTACAAATATATTTCATATCATTATTTTTCTACTTAGCGTAATTATAAATATAATAAATAATCATTTATTGAATCCTAGAAGAACTAGAACATTTAGTTTATTCTACATATCTCATTTTATTCAAGAAAACATCTAATACTTGTACTGTGTTTTGTCCCTCTGTGTTCGGTCTCTGGCAGCAGCTGCTTAATGCCAGAACAATCTGCAGTAAAACTCACCTCATCCATGACATCTAGTTATGTATGGGAGAGCCAATCTGGCTTGTATTGCTGAGACTTGGTTGGGCACAGAGTGGGGTTTTCCCTGTATGAAATGTGCTCTCCAGGATTTTGAGTGTGACCTCAACTGAGACTCTGGGGCAGAGCAGGGGATGTGGCAGTTGTTATTTATGAGTCTCTGGTGACCTCCACAGGGCCTGCCCTGGACATCTTTGGATGTGAGGCCTTCTTTCTGAAGCTGAGCCAGAGGAAACAATGGGGATTGTTGCTATTGCCTTCTTCCTGCAATGTAGCTGCATTCCTCTCTGTGCTACTGGACTTGGTATCTGAACTGGTATAAATGTCCTCAGGCTTATGGTTCTGGGGGATTTCAACTTACTGTCTCTGGGACTTGGATAGCAGAAGTTCATGGTCACCATGGTGGCCATGGGCCCATTTAAGTTAGTCGTAGTTCAACTGACACGGGAATCTGGTGTTCGGCTCATAACAGTGGTGTTGTGATCTGGATTTGGGAGTTTATTAACAACATGTCCTGCCCTCTTCGTCTTAGGGTTCTCAGCTGCTGTCCCTCACTGAAGGGAGTGGGGTTTATTTGATAGACATGCTTCAGGCACCTAATGGACTCATTGCAGTTTTCAAGGGAACTTGGGGTTTTTCCTCATTTCTGCTTGAGAAAGTGGCAAAAGTGCTGGACCAAATCTCACGAGTGTGTATTCTGTACACCTTTGTCATCTTTATGCTGGGACGGGGTTTCACTCCTCTGGAGTGAACTGGTGCACAATTTGAGGGTCCTTCTAGATTCATGGCTCCCGCTTGATGACTAGGTGGCAGCTGTGGCTAGGTGGTCTTTGCGCCCTTTCCTGGACCGGGAGGCCTTGCTCTCAGTCACTCATGCCTTAGTCATTTTCTATTTGGATTACTCTACTGCATTTTAAATGGGGATGCCCTTGAAGACTATTTCGAAGTTATAACTGGTCCAGATTGCAGCAGCACACACCAAATTGGGTATCCATATTACATCTCTATTGCATGAGCTACTTTGGCTTCATTTCCTTCTGGGCAAAATTCAAGGTGGTGGTTATCACCTTTCTAGTCCTACATGGCAAGGATCCAGGTTATTTGCAGGACCATTTTTCCCTAAGAATTTCCATTAGATTGGATAGTACAGGCATAATTCAGATCCTTTCCCTAAAAATCTACCACTTAGTGGCATCTTGGAAGCATGCCTTTTCTGTGGTTGCTCCTACCCTCTCCCTAGGGATTCAGCAGGCCATCTTTTAACCTTCTGGAAGCCCATCAAGATCTGGCATTTTACCAAGGCACTTGGTAAGGCAGATGATTAAGGAGCAGATTTTTTCTTTGACTGGTTGACGTTATATTTTATTATTACTGATTTTCTTGCTATTTAAAATAGGCAGACCTGATTAAGGTAGGCAGTCATATAATTCTTTTTATTAATAAACATCTAGGATTAAAACCAACCTACTAAATATTAGTTTAAGAGGGTGAGAAACAAAATTGTATCTAAAGTCCTATTAGATTGAACTCTGACTTTTAAACAAACAGAGCAGGTTATTTTAAATTGTATTATGTCTTACATATATTAAGAAATACATATACATATAGATGATGGCAGCTTTTTCTATTCAGAGTAAAACTAACTGGCAACCTAATCAGTACATTATTGTTACATTTGCAATTCTTCCTTCGACTATCTTTAAGCTCCCAATTTGTCAATGTTTTCTTACCTTATGGATAGTAATATAAATATAAAATATTAAGAGTTTTAAAAAAGTAGGTAGGCAGCCTGTAACTTCTCAATTGTCACTGAAAATCAACTTTCAGTAGCTTCATCCATTATGGTCAATGGTAATGCATACTGGAAGTGGTTCTTCAACATCATTTGAAGATCACTCTTTGCCTATTGGTGTTTTAAATTATATATCTCATCTTAGAAGGCATCTTTATTTGAAAGTGGAAAAATATTGCTGTTCTCCAAAACATGTTGTCATGGAATAACATTCACAGATCTCTCTAAAAGTGTTTATCAAAGGAAAGATACCTTTCTTTCTGATTTCCATTGGTGTAAGATGTTTTGTTTCTCCACATTCTGATAATGCTTTCAACTCAATGGGTAACCCATGGCAATCCCATCCAGGAACATAGTGCACTTTATAGCCATTCATGACATAGAATCGATTTGTGATGTCTTTTAAAATCTGAAAGGAGAGGAGAGAGAAATAATTATTGAAATTCATACTTTCATCTTGCTTTATAATTTTCTTAACTTCTACAGTATTTATACTACAGTTAGATCCAGCAACCTATACCCTAACAAATTGTTTTGTATGATTTCTATTCCAAAAGTTATCTTCTAATAGATTATTAACAATGCTTAAGTAAAATTACAGACACCTACCACACAAATAACTTATAAGATATCCATAAAATCCATAAAAGCAAAAAAATGTTATGTCTTTGGATAGGCTCCAACTTTTAGCAAAGCTAAAGTTCAAGCCAAACTCTGGTTTTCTTCAAATTACATTTCAACATGGCAAAAAAATCTACATTAATACATGTCTGATGGCTAAATACTATTTTCACCAGGATACTTCCATTTACGTTCTCTGTAACATCTATGACTCAGTTGTGCATACAGCTAAAATTCCTATGCAGCATTTATCAACTCCATAAGTCTTAAATTAATTCTAGTTCCTATAATGACTGTAGGATTATATGGTTATGATGGTTTTAATTTTGATTTTAATTCAGCATTACTATGAGTTAGATGGCTTTATATATTGCTTAAACAAATACATATATCAATTAATTTAGGAAAATACTCACTTTATTCAAAGCATGACCAACATGTGGGTCTCCATTGGCATAAGGTGGTCCATCATGAAGACAAAAATCTTGCTTTGTTTTCCTTTGTCTTTGCCAAGAATACAGTTCTGAAAAGCTACATTTCTGAAGAATAAAAAACTAGAATTAATATTATACACCTTAGATAATGAATTATTTTTGAAGATGACAATATATTTAATCTAATTTAGTCTCCCCAAAGAATTCCCATCATCTTCAGTATGCTCTGTCAATGTATCTGGAAGCCTCTGAGTTAGAGTGTTCTACTATATTCGAGTGTTCCAAACATATAAGTCTATAGCGTAGTTGTACAATTTACATTGCTTGGAGGGGAAAGTGACCAAACTGTTACACATATATTTAAATTAGAATGGAATCTCCTTAATGAATTGGGCTACCACATCAGGGCTGCAAAATGACAGTAACAAATTGAAACTCGCAGTATATATTTTACTGTTCTCTAACAATGGTTCAAATTTTTGCAGCCCATATAGGGCAACCCTAAAATTGGGCTTCAGTTTCTTGAAGTATCGTTAGATAGCAAATAAACTGCGGCCCAGATTGGACTTATGTGTATTATCAGACGTATAAGGTGCCTTTATTTTGTAGAGTCCATGCAGTGTACAATGCTGCTGCTTCCTCTTTTTCCCACCACCACAACTCTTTGGCGTGGGATGGGATTGAGACCAGAGACAGTGAATGGCACAAAGTCATCCAGGCAGCTCTCATGCCTAAGGGAGGACCAGCAGAGTTTGGCACCCAGTTAAATTTAGCCTTCTCCAATTATTTACCAACGGGTGACATATAAGGAGCATGGTCTGAGAAAAGTCTAGGAAGCTGAAGAACCACGAATCTACTTAGGGAACCTTTTTCCTTCCTGCAGGGCCCGAATAAATTCTGAAGTGGGTATTTTGAAACGTAACTAACAGCAACCTAGCTACCTAGGCGACAGCGAGGAGAGAAAGGCAAAGCCAGCCAAAGCATCTTTTCAGCGCATCCCGTTGTGCGGGTTGCAAAGGTTTCCCCACAGAGAAGCGTCACAAGTTACGAAAAATGCATCTCTCGGTTCAACTCGTGCTAAATTTTAATCCCAGGACTATCTCGGCGGTGACTTTCCAGCATCTCTTCCCCCTAATTCATTTTCTTCCTCTACCTGCTGTATCTCCAATTCAGTTTCGGGCTGCAGCCGGCCAGGCAACTGGCTGGGGAAATCGCTTTGGGGCAATAAGATCGTTTCACGATATTTGGAGTCCGGCTTCGCCTTTTGGCCCGTGCTGGGTCCTGCGGACACCGTCCCGCGAGCCCAACAGCCAACATGCTTGGGAAACCTCAGCAACGGCGGGGTCCGCAGCGCCCACATCGCGCGCACTTGGTCCGCGGGCACTTCCGGAAACGTTTACGGCGAGCAACGAGGCAAAACGTCTTTCCCGGTTCTTTTCCGGCTCTGATGGGCTTCTCAGCGCCCCCTGGAGTTCGGTCCTCCCCCCTCCTTTGTTAGCTGGGGAGTCTCGCAAGCATCGCCTCTAGATCTGGGTGCCCCGAACCCCGACATCAGTTCAGCTTCGCAGCCCAGAAAAGTGGCCTAATTGTGTAAATGAGTCTTCCCTGTGCATGAATTAGGAACAGACATACATCTATACGTTATTGGCCAGATATTGGCCAATCTGCCAATAAGGACCCGTTAAAGGACCCGGTAGGTGGAGCGGAGAAAGAATAGGAAATCGGCACTGAGTAATCTCGGCGCGAGCATTCTTGCGAGTGTTTTGTAACAGTGAGACTGCTGGAAAAGGAGGTACGCTGCTATTTTCATTTTTCTCTTGTCCTTTTCGGATTATTTGCTTTTAGATATTCATCGATAGAGGTCTTGTGATAATGAAGGAGGTGTGTGGTGAAATAACACTTTTCTTTCAATCCCGTCGTGCCAATGTCCTCGAATTAGGAAAAGACATATATACAGTCACGGTGGGAGGAGAAAGCAGCCTGGAATTATTCTAGTGGCATGGTCAAACTCGTATTGTGTTCATTTGAGTGACTAAATGTGGCACAGGTGCTGTTTCTTACATGTATGATAGTTACTATAATGGATTAGAATTTAGAAAACAACCAACAAACATGAGCGGTGTGAACAAGTAGTTCCTGGTGCAATTCTATATATGCCTGTCCAGAAAGTTTTCAGTTAAGTAGCTGTTTTATACATACTTATATTTTGGATAAACGTTTATAATTTTAAAAAGTTCCTGTGTCAGATCAGAAGATTTTGCTTTGGAAGATGGAGTAAAACCATTTTAAAGAAGTTTTGTGCAAATCCTCACCAATATTTTAACCAAATAAAGGAGGTTTGTGGTACTTCATAAATAATATTTTTGGTCCACTGTGATCACTGAATGCACAGGTAAGATTCATCAGTATAATTGCTAAAAAGAAAGAGAATGTAGAGCGAGGAAAGAAGGTAGGAAGGAGAAGAGAAGGAGAGGAGGAGAGCTGAAGATGAAATAGACTATAATATGAGTGTATGGAAAGCAGAAGAGCAAATAAAAATTGAAGAGGCTTAATGGCAAAAGGAATTGATATATTATTGAATACTCAAAAATGCGTGTTAAGATGTACTGGTATACTTTGGATTATATTATATGTATGTTAAAAAATAA